CTTATCTGTAGTGCAAAAAAAAAAAAAAAAAAAAAACAGGAAAAACAATGCAATATTTAAAATGCACTACACACCGCAACGCACCGTACTCTAAGGCACTGGACACTGCAACGCACCGTACTCTAAGGCACTGGACACTGCAACGCACTGGAAACCGCAATGCACTGTACTCTAAGGCACTAGGCACCGCATTGCACTGTACTCTAAGGCACTGGGCACCGCAACGCACTGGGCACTGCAACGCACTGGACTCTGATACACTGGACACTGCAATGCAGTGTACCTGGTGTGATCTCCTCTTCTCTTGTTGCTCCTCTGGCCGCAGCAGGTGAAATCCGGGGCTTCCAGGCTGCCGCTTGTTTGGTCCTCGCGGCTGAGGACCCATCGAGCAGCCTAGCTCTTTGCCGGCCGGGGACGTGGGTTTTTTTTTTTTTTTTTCGTTTTGGCTGGTCCGGTAGGCCGGATAAATGGCTTTGGTGGCCCGTGTCCGGCCCGCGGGCCGTAGTTTCAGGACCCCTGCTCTACATTAATGCCACAAGGATAATGTGCACTGTTCTGAGATAATATTCCCAGCACCATATTACACCCTAAATAATATGAGTAACGTATTCTAAAAGGAGGATTTATCCTTTAAAGGGGAAGAAAAATCACATACTCTCGTCTTCTCTACTTACTCTTTAACATGCTACGTTGAGCATATTTATTCAGGGATTCTTCTGTCTCTTCTACCGGATATACACTGATCAGTATGACTACCAACAGGTAACGCAGATAACATTGATTATCTTGTTACAATGACACTTGGAAGTTTGTGGGATATTTTAGGCAGTAAGTGAACATGTTGTCTTTGAAGGTGATGTATTGAGAGCAGAAAAAAAAAAAATAGGTAATCGCAAAGATTTGAGTGACTTTGACAAGGGTCGAATTGCAAGACGACTGGGTGAGAGCATCTCTAATACTACAGCTCTCTTGGGATGTTCATGGTCTGCAGTGGTCAGGACCTACTGAAAGTGGTCCATGAAAGAAAAATCAGTAAACCAGTGACAGGGTAAAGAATAGCCAAGGCTCAATAATTCACGTGGAAAGTGAAGGCTGGCCTGCATAGTCCAATCCAACAGAAGAGCCAATGTAGCTGAAATTGCTATAAAAAAAAAAAAAAGTTAACGCTGGTTTGGACAGAAAGGTGTCAGTGCATCACAGTTTGTTGTGTCTGGGGCAGCATAGCCACAGGTTGGTCAGGGTGCCCATGCTGACCCATATCCACAGCCAAATGCGCCTACAATGGGCACATGAGCATCAGAACTGGACCACAGAGCAGTGACCTGGTCTGATGAATTCAAAAATGGTAAGTAAGACGAGTTTGAGATGTTGCCTTGGTCTCCACATTCTCCAGATCTCAATCCAATGGAGCATCTTTGGGATGTGCTGGAAAAGCCCAATTCAAAGCAGCTGCACTTCACCACTTACAGGACTGCTACTGATTGCTTGGTGCCAGATACCACAGCATACCTTCAGAGACCTAGTGGAGTCCATACCTCAAACAGGTTATAATGAGTGGTCATAATGTATGGCTGATTGATGTAGATCTTGATTTTAAAACATGACAGCGGCTGTGAGGGAAGAGGAACCTGCCCACTGCCGCAGGGTAGGTGAAGGGGGTTGCTGCATGGCAACGAGCCACATCCTAAACACAGGTGTAACATTACGAAAGCTGAACATATTCTTTAACCCTTTCACTGGGGATTCACTGTAGGGATAGATTTGGTCTAAATCCTGGAGTTGGCCTTTACAGTGGTATTAAACCCAGACACAAAAATGTATTTTTAGACAGGGTGGCTGCACTAGGTTTCTTTTTTCCTTTTGGGATAAAGGATTTACATAAACAAAATAAAGCTGATCATTGTAAGCGCCCCTGTCAGCGTTAAATGGTTTCTCTCAACCCTCTAATTGCAATTTTTGCTGGAAAGCTTGGTCTGGTATTGTAAGTTGAAAAAAAATCAGCTATTGATTGGATCACCAGGTGAAAAAAGCCTAGAGCCTATACCACATACCAGCGCCCTGATCGCCACCATATCACATACCAGCGCCCTGACCGCCGCCATACCAGCATCCTGATCAAGCAGCTTGGTAAGGGAGCAACCAAGCAGGCTCGCTCCCATTCACACACAAAGCCACAGCTTGGCCCTGCCCCCTCTCTGTCCTCATTGTTCACTGGCTGTGATTGACAGCAGAAGGAGCCAATGGCTCCCGCTGCTGTGTCTCAGCCAATGAGGAGAGAGAGTCCCCGATGCTCTCGTGCACATCACTGGATTGTGAAGGGGTTCAGGTAAGCACTGGTGGGGGAGGCTGCTGCACACAGAAGGTTTTTACCTTCATGCACAGAATGCACGAAGGTCAAAAATGTTGAGCCTTTACAACCACTTTAATACTGCTTTAAAGCTGCTCTCACACTGAACCGTTTTTCTTTATTTGGTGCAGGTTTGGTATGGTTAAAAAAAAAAAAAAAAAAAAAAAAACAAAATACCGCAATAAAAATGCACCACCCCATTGAAATCAAAGGTAAAGGTGACAAAAATGCCTCAAAAACTCACCTGCGTTGCAGCTTTTAATTTAAAAAATGCACCGCAAACGCAGTTAGAGCGCATATGCGTTTTTGCCATGGATCAGTGTGAAAGTAGCTAAAGGATAAGCTCACCTTTTAGAACATGTTCTACCCATATTTAGGGTGGAACATGTTCCAGCTTCTGCTGCCTCCCCCCTAACAGTTCTGCTGCCTCCCCCCTAACAGTTCTGAATGATCTGCTAGGGTGCTGATGAGACCCCTTGTAGTTCATTCACAAGCCCTGCAGCTTTCAAACTGATAGCAGGTATGGAGGTACAGGCTGAAAGCTGCAGGGCTTCTCTGCAGAACCCTGACATTGTATCCCTGATCACGGGGGAGTGGTACGGGGAGTGCTCTCCAGACTCCTGCAGGAAAAAAACATTACATGCACATTATTTTTTTCTGCAAACATATGTACATTGCTTATTTCTTCTAAAATGGTAAACATATCCTTTAACCTCTTCCTGACCATGTTCTAGTCAAAAGGCGGCTACAGCACGGTGGTCCAGTAATGGGAGGGTGCCCCCCTGCACGATCTGTGATCAGTGGTGTCATCTGGATACAGCTGATCGCAGATCGCGGTAAAGGGCCAATCACAGCAGCCCTTTACCATGTGATCAGCGTGATCCAATCACATTGTACAGACTTACCGATTACCGGCAGCCTTTTCCTCACGCGCTGTCATAGCGTGAGGAGAGGAAAGCCGGTAACCGGAAGATAACACAGGGGTCACTTGCAATGTACAGACGATCAGAAAATTGTACGAAAATGCCGATCGTACAATAATCTGATAATTGCACAGCAATCGTCCGAAATTACTCAAGGGACAAGCACGAAGATTGTCTTACAATTTTCGTTTAACCAGTACAGTTTCCGTCTGAACATACAATACAAATACATTACTTCCAAATTTTTATTCTGTCGTACAAGAATTTTCGTACCTTTAGTAACCTCTAAACTTTCGATACAAGACTAGCATGCAAAAAAAAAAAAAAAAAAAAAAAAAACCGGACCGGATAATCAGTGCAGCCACATCAGTGAAGGAGAAAAATTACTTATTTGCTAAATTTTATTATAGAAACTAAGAAAATTTTTTCCTTTTTTCAAAATTTTCAGTCTTTTTTCGTTTTTGTTAGCCAAAATAATAAAACCCAGTGGGAGTTAACTACCATCAATAGAAAGCTATGTATATGTGGGCAGCACAGTGGCTAAGTGGTTAGCACTTCCGCCTGGCAGTACTAAGGTCATTGGTTCGAATCCCAACCACGGCACCACCTGCCTGGAGTTTGCATGTTCTCCCTGTGACTGCATGGGTTTCCTCCTACACTCCAAAGACATGCTGGTAGGTTAATTGGCTCCTGTCTAAATTGGCCCTAGTATGTGTATGTATGAATGTGAGTTAGGGACTTTAGATTGTACAACCCCTTAATGCAGGCCATAGACGGTTCGTTTATCGGCTGATTTTTCATCCGAAAGAATAATCTTCACACTGTTAGTGGGGCAACGGACGTTTTTTCGCAGTTCCTCCTAATTTCATTTATCGGTCATGCCGGAAAATTTGTGAAAAACGGACGATTTTCACAATGACTGGTGGCAACGGATTGATCGATGTTTCGTTTTTCGGACAAAAAAAAAAAAACAACGGCCGGTAAACTAACCATCTATGGCCTGCAGTAGGGTTAGGGACTGATGTGAATGTACAATATAAATGTAAAGCACTGCATAAATTGACGGCACTATATAAGTACCAGAAATAAATGTCTTGGAAAAAAAAAAAAAAGACACAAATTTAGTTTGGGTTCAGTGTTGCACGACCGCGCAATTGTCAAAGTGTGACAGCGCTGAAAGCTGAAAATTGCCTGGGGTAGAAGGGGGTGAAAGTACCCGGTACTGAAGTAGTTAAAGCAAAACTAAACTCCCATCCTTTACAGACAAGAAAGGGGCCATCTTGGATTCTTTGAATCTGATCTGTAGTTGCCATGGTGCTGTAGGTGATCAGATATGACAGCAGTCATTGGATGGTATGACAGTTGGGTGGACAACTGCCATCAGCGTGCTGGGAAGATCGCGGCCTATCCCGAATGTAACGGGAAACAGTCAACCTGGTGGGATAACTACGGCCATAAGTACGGAAACTCGGAGCATGCCGGGATATTGAGTCCTGTACAAGTATCACATATGTTTTGCCTCGAGTATGGACAGCAGGAACAGGCGACGAGCTCTTTCCTCATATCACCCACAGCGGAGCGACCAGTGTCCGCACTACAAGTCCCAGAGGCCTCAGGCCACGCCCTACACACCTCCATAATGTACTACAAGATGTCTGCTGAGGGGAGGTCGGTGACTCCAACCACCTCTGCACTGGTCTCCGGTAAATCGCACTCAACAAATCACTCACCGATATAACTCCGGCCACCTTCCGCCATCTCTATCTCGCTGGAATATGGGACTCTACGTCACTTCCTGAAAGGAGATCCCGCCCAAACCTTTCCACAAATCACCGGGGCAACCAGCCTGCCAGCTTCCCGCCATCGGTGACGCACGGCCAAGGACAAGGAGGCTGAACACTAGAGGGGAAGAGGGGGCTGGCTGCATGTCCGCAATGGAGAGGCTGTGTGTAGTGAGGCCTGCCCAGCGCTGCGAGAGGACGAGGGGTGACGGGAATTTCTTTGGACTTTCCTTATTAAGCTCCTAGTGTGGTCACCAGAATACAGGCGCAATGAAGTCATGTTTTATTTTATTTTTAAGTGATTCCAGTCATTCTTTTATGATTTTAAGGGACAACTTTCCTTTTTCCACAAGTTGTCATATAAATCAGAAGAAAAAGACATCACAACGAGGCTTGTGTCTAAACTGCTGCACCTTCGAAAAGTGATCTGAGGTCGATTTGCTTTTCAGAGGCATTTGATAGGCAGTGAGGAAGCGATATGATGCCGCCTTGCTGCCCGTTTTAACCCTTTAAATGCCACATCAATATGTCGCACCAGTGTGCATTGCAGTGCAGCCTCATCTTGATGGAGACATGTTCCGCAGCAGCACTGCCTGCCAATTGCGCCAAGGGACGGTCATTTTGGCCACAGGCGTGAAGAAAACCATCATAGGGCAGAATAGTGGCTAAATGGTTAGCACTTCCGCCTGGCAGTACTAGGGTCGTTGGTTCGAATCCCAACCATGGCACCACCTGCCTGGAGTTTGAATGGTTTGAATCCCAACCACAGCATCACCTACCTGGAGTTTGCATGTTCTCCCTGTGCTAACCTGGGTTTCCTCCGGATACTCCAGTTTCTTCTAACACTCCAAAGACATGCTGGTAGCAGGGACGGACTGACAATTCATGGGGCCCCCGGGCAATAGGGGATTATGGGGCCCCTGTGTCCTCGCCCACACCCAAAAAAGCCTATGAAAAAAACAATGAAAGGTACCAGGGGCACCTCATGGGGCCCCCTACTGACCCCAGGCCCTCGGGCAGTGCCCGAGTGCTTGAATGGTCAGTCCGCCCCTGGCTGGTAGATTAATTAGATCTGATCTAAACTGGCCCTAATAGGTGTATGTATGAATGTGAGTTATGCCCCGTACACACGATAAGAAAATCGTACAAAAAAGTTTGCGGTACTACTGATCGAACGATTTTCTCTTCGTTGATGAGCAGGATGTTTTAATCAATAACAATATTGTGAACAAAAAAATCCAGTTGAACAACAATGAAAAATTTTGTCGTTTTGCATATGAATAACCGTTTTTCTATGCATTGATATGACGGTCGTAGGAAAAAATCTATCACACATGAGCGGAAACAGAAGATGACTCGGATGTTTATGTCCAAGGAATCTTCGTAAACACGAACGAGAAATCCAAATGTTAAAAGTAGATTGGCCTAATGAGATAATGAAACCAGAATTCTGCATATTATATTTTATGTATCACTATTTATGTATATAGGTCATGTAATAAACTATATTATACTCATTGCTGTTAATTGTTGTGTATATCGCTCGTTCTGGCCGGAAGGGCGTGGCGACAAGGTCACATGCACACTGCATCACTTTCACTTGTACGGAAGATGTCAACACTAAGTATTGCCCGACGAATTATTTTTTTAGATTGGTTAATGTGGGCCATGATTTTGACCAATGAGCGAACGTCTCTCAGTCGTCGGATGACCAATCGGTCGATTTTCTAATCCTGTATTCCCACCTTTAGGGACCTTAGACTGTACACCCCTTGAGGGTTAGGGACGGATGTGAATCTACAATATATATATATACAAAGCGCTGTGTAAATTGGCGCTATACAAGTACCTACTGTATAATAAATCATGACTAGCACCTAAAGGGGGGAGGTTGCTGCACTTAAGTACTAGACACTTTCACCCCCTTCCTGCCCAGGTCAGTGTTTAGCTTTCAATGTTGTTCACTTTGACAATTGCGTGGTCATGCAACACTGTACCCAAATAAAATTTTTATGGTGTTTTTTAATACGGCTTTCTTTTAAAAGGTGGTATTTGGGAATAACCTTCTGGATTTCGCCCACAGCACTCCACAGAAACTGCTCTCCTAAAACTCACAAACGACTTACTAACCGCTAAAACCAAAGGTCACTATTCTGTACTCTTACCTTTGCACCTCTCCGCTGCCTTTGATCACCCCCTCCTCAAAAAAAAATCTATTTACTTGGCCTCCGTGACTGAACTCTCCATTGGTTCGAATCTTACCTATCTCACTGCACCTTCAGTGTCACAACTCTTCCTACTCCTCTTACTGTTGGGGTCCTCCAAGGTTCTGTCCTTGGACCTCTTGATCTACACTTCTTCCTTGGGTCAGCTGATAGCTTCCCATGGTTTCCAATACCATTTCTATGCTGATGACACACAAATCTATCTCTCTACTCCTCAGCTTACCCCATCAGTTTCCTCACGTATCACCGATTTACTAACAGACATATCAGACTGGATGTCACTCCATTTCCTGAAACTCAGTCTTTCCAAAACTGAGCTCATAATATTTCCTCTCCCACACGCCTCTTCCCTGGATTTCTCCGTCAAGATCAATAGCACCACTATCAACCCATCCCTGCATGCCAGGGTGCTAGGGGTAACCCTGGATTCTGCACTATCCTTTCAGGTCCACATCCAATCCCTGTCCAAATCATGCCGCCTCATCCTCCGCAACATCTCCAGAATATGCCTCTTTCTAACCAATGGTACCAAAAAGCTCCTAATTCACTCCCTGGTTATCTCTCGCCTCGAGTACTGCAACTCCCTCCTCATTGGCTTACCTTTACATAGGCTATCCCCCCTCCAGTCCATCATGAATACTGCTGCCAGGCTCATCCACCTTACCAATCGTTCAGTGTCTGCTACCCCTCTCTGCCAACTCCTCCACTGGCTTTCACTCGTCCGATGAATAAAATTCAAAATACTAACTTACGAAGCCATCCACAACTCTGCGCAAACTATTGCTGCTATATAAATCCTGTATAATAGTAATTTACTCACCACTGTTTTTTTTTTTTATTTTTGCTAAACAAACGAAAAAAAGACAGAATTTGTTTTTTCTTTGTTCTGTCATAACGTTTTGCAGATAAGTGTATTTTCTTCTTGACTGACGTGTACTGATGAGGCTGCACTGTTGGATACTGGTGAGGCTGCATTGATGGGCACTAATGAGGCTGTACTGATAGGCTGCACTGATGATCAGCTCTCAGGATTGCCAGTTATTGGTTTTCCTTTGCTCACATAGTGGCAGTGCAGAGGAAAGTAAAGCGATAATCAGCAAGGGCCACAGTGAGTGACCCTTTACTGTGATCCAAAGGACACAGCTGTCACAAAGCGTGCCTAAGGCACATTCTGGGCGTACATCCCTAGACGTCCTCCCAGAACAAGAGAACCACTCTAGCCTTCTTTCGCCTATAGTTTGGTATTAAAGTGGGTGCAGTAGAATTAATGGCAAAACTTTTTGTTTTCTTTTTGAATAGTGTAAGGAATGGTCATAACCAGGGGCGGACTGACCATTTGGAAACTTGGGCACTGCCCAAAGGCCTGGGGTCAGTAGGGGGCCCCATGAGATGCCCCTGGTACCTTTCTCATAGGCTTTTTTGAGTTTGGGCAAGGACACAGGGGACCCATGATCCCCTATTGCCCAGGGGCCCCATGAGTTGTCAGTCCGCCCCTGGTCATAACCCCTATCAGTTTTCCCGACTTTCCCATTGGGGCAATAACCCCTCTATTCCTGTCCTATAGGCAAAACAAGAAGTGAGAAGAAATCCCTCCGTAATTAAGGAATCCTGGGATGTCACCAGATCCAGTGTCTACATTATAGATTTCCCTTCAATTACTGTTCTAGGGTCACCCCAAAATGTAGGATTTTCTTTTAATTTCACTTTCAATGATAATGGTATAAATAGAGAGGGTGAATATCCCTAATGGGGGCACAGACAGCAATAAAGACCTAACTGGTATTCTTATCCTTCCTCACTCTATCCAAAACTTTAAAAAAAAATATGTTTTTTCTTTAGTTACACTTTAAGGGCTCTTTCTGTGCTGAGCCACTTTTTGTTGTGTGTGCATCCATCTTGGAGCAGCATACAGGCAACCCATAGAACTCACATGCAGGAAGGAGCCAGGTGCATGGACCTGAATGCAGGTACTGTGTTTTTTCAGATCTGTTCACCTGCTTCTGCCCACATGTTAAATTTTGAAGTGACAGTGTCTGTGCAACTTCTGCATGCACTTTTATGGGCTGCCTGCCTGCAGCTCCAAGGTGGATGCACATGCTGCAAAAAGTAGCTCAGCACAGATAACAGGCTCCAGCACACGTCTAAAGCAAAAGAAAAGACATTGCGAAAAGGCTAAGTTTAGACTTGTGTCTAAACTGCTGTGTCTCCGATGAGTGTCCATTAGCACCATATTGAGCTGAAATAATGACAAGACGAAATCCACCATTTCCAAATCATTGTGTTGGGTTGTGCTGAATGAAGAAGGAACATGCTGCATTAATACACAGTGCGACATGCAAAGTAAAGCTGGATGAAAGCACGGATCTGGATGAATTTTAATTTGTGTGTAGCCCTTTCTGTTTGACAGAAGTCAATCAGTAGATTGATTTATGTTAAATGGGACTGCTGGAAAACTTTAGTTTGATAAGCTGCTGCAGCCAGTTGGCTGCAGCACTGATGAGTGTATTCTCAGAGAGGAGTCCCACTGTTAGAATACAATAGCACAGCAAGGAGAATACCTCCATTCACCTACCTTGTGTAGATGGGGGAACCCTTGTTTTTTTCCTTCAGCCTGCCTGTCTCTGACTCAAAATCTGATTGGTTAAAACTAGAGTTTCACTGTCATCTACTGTAAACTACAAGTGCCTACACTGTGGATTAGACATGTACAATTAATTTAGTTACAAATTGAAATTCAGACAAAATTTTTGTTATTTGAAGATTT